AGTCTTGGAAGGTTGTATTTTTCTAGGAAATTTTCCATTTCTTCTAGGTTTTCCAGCTTGTTAGCATATAGATTTTTATAGTATTCTCTAATAATTCCTTGTATTTCTGTGGGGTCCATCGTGTTTTTTCCTTTCTTTTTTCTGATTCTGTTGTTGTGTGTAGATTCTCTTTTTCTCTTATTAAGTCTGGCTCGGGGCTTATCTATTTTTATTTTCTCAAAGAACCAGGTCTTGGTTTTATTGATTTTTTCTATTGTTTTATTCTTCTCAATTTTATTTATTTCTTTTCTGATCTTTATTATGTCCCTCTGTCTGCTGACTTTGGGCCTCATTTGTTCTTCTTTTTCCAGTTTCAATAATTGTGACTTTATTCATTTGGGATTGTTCTTCCTTTTTTAAATAGGCCTGGATTGTTGTATACTTTCCTCTTAGAACTGCCTTCTCTGCGTCCCACCAAACTTGGGGCTTTGTGCTGTTGATGTCATTTGTCTCCATATATTGTTTGATTTCTATTTTAATTTGGTCATTGATCCATTGATTATTTAGGAGCATGTTGTGAAGCCTCCATGTGTTTGTGAGTCTTTTTGTTTTCTTTGTACAATTTATTTCTAGTTTTATACCTTTGTGATCTGAGAAGTTGGTTGGTATGTCAACATGATTTTTAACTATTGACATTGACTTTGATCACCTGGCTGAAGTTGTTGTGTTTATCAGATTTCTTACTGTAGTTCTTGTTGCCCACTCCCCACTCCCGTGTCTGGCCAGTCACCACCACCAGTACTATACTCTTTGGAGGGAAGTTGCTATGTGCAGTCTGCAATTAAGGATTAGAGATATGCTACCTGTCCTTTGGGGTGGAATATTGTACTAGTCTGCTTGGGCTGCCATAACAAACTCATGAACTGGTGGTTTAAAGAACAGACATTTATTTTTTCACAGTTCTGGAGGCTGAGAGTCTAAGACCAAGGTGCCAGCAGGATTGGTTTTTGTTAAAGCACTTCTCTCTGGCTTTCAAATGGCCAGCTTCTCACAGCATCCTCACATGGCCTTTCCTATGTACTCATGGAGAGACAGAGAGAGAGAAATAGATCTCTGATGTCTCTTCTAGGACACCAATTCTATTGGATTAGTGCCTCACACTTGTGACCTCATTTAATCCTAATTACCTTCTTAAAGGCTACAAATACATTCATATTAGGGGTTAGGGTGAAACCACCATATGAATTTTGGGGGAACATAATTCAGTCCAT